TTATGCTCTTCCATCTATATAATACACAATATTATTAATATTTTATTCTAGTAAAATGATTTTCTCTCTCTGTGTCAGTTCACACGCACGCTCACTTGTCGTCTTGCTCTAAGAAGTTGCTATCAAGTTGATTGATGATACATTAATAAATATTGCAATGATAATTATGAGCCATTTCAGTTCGTCTTCCTTTGCTAATAGTCCACGTGCAATTCAGTAGACTTCTTTTTTTACCCATACAGGGAGACTTCCCCCTCATCTCTCATTATTTGGTTCCGTGTATCCTTATTTGTTTTCTTTGTTTGATTGCAATTATGGTCCGTTCCTGGTGCAGATTTTGTTGGTTCATGAACCATCACAATCGATGATTCTTAGCCAACAAGTTTTTGGTGCCTTTTAATCATGGTGCAAGATTTCAAATTCTGGAAAGATTTGAATCAAACGTGGATAACAGGGGGAAAAGTATTCTTGATTTTGTAAACTTACCAGCTGATGCAATATGGATCACTTAATTGTTTCCAAATTAATATATAACTAGTGATATATTTGTGGGTTTTATTTTTTGACCCCTGTTCTGGGTTGGTCACGTCCGGTCACGCCGGCTGCTTTCTTTTTTCTTTTTTCTTTGTTTTTTCCAGAAAAAAGACTTCACCTCACAACAATCATTTACATAAGCTACTGAGAAGGAGACTTGAAAATATCCTAAATTTTAGCAAGTTCAATACAGATTCCTCCAAATTTTGAAACCAGTTTTTTTTTTTGGTCAGAAAGGGAGTACCTATTTTCTTTTCTTTTCTTTTCTTTTCTTTTTCTTTTTTTAAAAACTCTATTTGACATGAATCATTTACAATAGTTGTCCGACAATGACACTAAAAAATATTCTAAGTTTTGGTACCATTATAAGTTCAATGCAGGTCCCTCAATTTTTTTTTTTAAATCAAATTTGTTAGACCTTAATTACATTCAATAGACATGCCCCGAATCCTAAATCTCGAGGTGGATAGACTTTCAAATAAGGTTGTTAACGGTTCGGATTCATATCGGATTATAGTAAATCTAGATCTGATTTGTTTAGTGAAATAACCAGATCAAATCTCATAAATTCAGATAATATTTTAAAAATATAAAATTGGATTCGAATCCTAATGGATTTGGAGTTCTATCAAATATAACACTTGATTTTTGTAGAAAATTTGTGCTTACTACATTTCATATATTACTTGAATATAAAATATATTTTAGCCACTACATGTATAATAAAATATGTTAAGATAATATTTTATTTATCGATTTTGTAAAAAATTCAAAATGCTACACAATTCAAAAGCCTAAGATCAAATAATCTTAATAAAAGTTTGTCTTGAACTAAATAGAAATTATGATAAATCTATTAAAAAAATAATAAATATATATATATATATTTTTTTGTTTGTGTGGTAGCAAAAATAGAGTGATGACAAATATAAAAAAGCCAACTCTTGAAAAAAATATATAAGTCAATTTATAATATTTTTTTCAAAAAAATTGAATTAAGAAAATCAAAAAAATTATATGTGATTTTTTTTTTAAATATAGTTGTCACCATAGAAGAATATGCATTATTTGAACTTTACAATAAATAAACTCTAAATTTCAATCTAGTTTCATACTTAAATTCGGATCTATCTTGATCCAATTTAATAATAATCCGACCTAAAATTAAAATTAAAATATTATATTTATTATAAAATATTATTTTTAATTTCGAGTCGGATTATTATCGATTGGATTAAGGTAGACCTAGATTTTATCTATTTAATAAACGAGTTAATGGATTCAGTTCATAATCAAACTTGGATAAAAAAAATTACTAGTTCTATTTGATTACATCGAATTCAAATATAATTCGGGTTAAGATTCAATCTATTTATAGCCCTACACGAAAACACGATGCATTAGGAAAGTAAGTTTTCGTGCTTTGTGATGGCCATACGAACATCGAAAAGTTAAACCTAAGATCCGATTGATATCGGATTTCAAGTCATTGATGAATCACCTTTTATATTTAATCCTTTTAGATGCGTGTGAGTATATAAAATGTAATATTTTCTATCATACACAAGATTAGATCCCCATCATACCCATTGTTCAAACCTAAGAGAAATAAAGAGAAAGGAAAGAAATTAATGCATATCAAAAGATTTGTAAAAGCTAGCTTTGATGATCATATAATTGATTCATGTCTTACATAGACAATAAATTAAGCACTATAAGAAAATAGTAAAATAGTGATGAAATTTTCTATTGCTAAATCATTATTTTCCTTCGCTATTTACTTTTCGTGATAGAATTGCAACAATATTTTTTAGAAATCTAAAGTGATCATTGCTATTTTCTTAGCAATGAAAATTTTATTTGTCGTTGATTAACGATGGCTTATCCATCGCTAGTGTGAAGTATTTTTGCCGCTAAATCAAAGTAAGCAATTGTCTTTTAGGTCTTGAATATGTCACAAAATTATTTATTGTATTACCATTGCTATTTAGTGACGGAATTGCCATCTCAAATTATACTTGCTAAGTTTCCTTGCAAATTCGTTGCCATATCCATCACTATTTAGCGACTCGTATCTATGTTTATTGGAAAGAGATTTAATTTTAGTTGCTAATTTTGTCACCGGTTTGTTGCTGAATGAATGATTTTTTTTAGGTAAATTAGTAGCTATTTAATGTTAATGGTAGTAGCAAACAACTAAAAATAACATCTTATTATAACATAAAATATTGTTTAATAAAAATTAATATAAATTGAAATTAGATAAATATATACATACATTCAAGTGTATAAAAATATGAAAAACCTAAAAAAAGGAAAAGAAAGCTAAATCATCTCCTCTATCATCTTTCCGTGTATTGAGAGGAAATACTAACTTTTGGATTGTGTTGGGCCAGCATAAGGGACGAGAGTCTCTTGTAGCTCCTTTCATGCTTCCAAAACCATCTCCATCTAACTCTATAGATTGTAGAATTTATCCTCCTATTCCTAAAACCATTGAGTATAGTCAACCTCCATCCCCTTAATCCTATCTTACTAGATAGTAACCTCTTGAATATTATCACCAAGGTAACGCGATGTGACAAAGGACTAGTTGGCTTCGGAATGGGAGTAATACCGAGACTCTTATATTCTAAGGCTTTACATTCTTTGTTTCTTCACCCCTCATATAACATCGAAATATATCTTGGTCATGTTGATGTTTGGAGATGATGAATCATCCCCATATTGCTTCTTAGTAAGTATTTCTTGTAATGATTGCATGCGCTCCTACATAATTGAAATAATTATAATAATAAATCATAAATATATTTTTTAGATTATTTTGATAGAAGTATATTTATAAAAATAAAACAATCACCATTATTATCTAGGATCGCTTGCCAACGAATGACCCATCTTTCTACTTGTCGTTGTTTAGGAACACCTTGTAATACTTTAAATGGAATATAAACAAATAAATAATATCTTATACTAAAATTATTAAAGTAGAAGTCTTTCATCTTCATGGAGATAGACTTTCATATAAAGCCGACGAGGTCTAATCATTCCTTGAAAATTATGGTGATTTGAATGGAGCACTTACTTGATGGAACCAAACTACCAAACAAAACAAATAAATAGTAACGAAGTGAATTAATGATTCCACTAATATATAAAAATATAAAACTAATTATCACATGTAAAGCATAGTACTTACTTGTTATTCATAAGCCTAATGGTCCGTTTAGTATCAAATCCAATAAGCTCTTTGTAGTTGAATAAACCGCCAAGGGGACCTCGCTAGCTAAGTGGAACTATTGGTGGACATGCAAACATGCCGACACTACTATAAGTCCACGATTCGGGACACCAAGCACTACTAGTGCCACAACCATATGCACCGTTACTATTAGTGACACGATCATGGATACGACCACTATTAGTACCATGACCACGAGATAGTACTACTATTAGAGCCATGACCACTCGTCCGTGCAAGAAAAAGTGCCTACATGGGATGATAGGATGCTCGAGTGGAATGGCCCAATCCACGAGTTATATATTTATAATAACACCTAAATTAGTCGACCAAAGAGCATTTCATTTTGTAAAGACACTTTTTATTTTAAGTGGGAAATGAAATTATGCAAGGATGGCAAGGGAGGGCATTTTGAAAGGTAGGTTTTGTAAAGGTTCATTAGCTCAAATTACATACAATCTTTATAGAGGTGTGTGTGTTTGTGTCTATATATAATAATAATAATAATAATAATAATAATAATAATAATAACTATGGCGAGATAGGGAAAACAACTACAAGAGAAGTATAATGACAATAAACTTCTACTAGCTACAGATGTACGAGAAATAATAAGAGCTTAATAGTTATTCTTACCACCCTCTTGCAAGTTGAATAGGATATGCAACTTGTTTTGTCGCTACCGAAATAGAGTAATAACGAGTTTGGTTAGAATGTCAAGAATTTGATCACTCGGTAGGCAAGTAACGGACTTGTAGGTTATTGTTATGAACTTTGTGGTACACAAAATGGAAATCAATTTTCATATGCTTAGACCGAGAATGAAAAATAGTCAAATTGGAATTGTTTAATGCATTTACCAAAAACTTTTCAACCATATGCCTAGATTTAATGAAAGGGCTATGGAATTCTAATTTACAATGAAGAAAAAAATAACTAACAATATTTGCTAAAGTTTTCATTAAAAAAAAATGTAAAGACTAACCATCAATAGAGGGTGCATGAGAAGGACCCCAAACATCAAAACAAACTAATTCTAATGGTTCTTTATCCATAAAATGAGACTAAAGAAATGGTAATTTATGAATTTTGCTAAGACTACAAGCATGGCATAATCAAGAATCTTATGAAGAGGGAACATTTATTCTAGAATTTTTCAAGACATGATGAATTTTTTTGGTTTATGCATGTCAAAGGCAAGCATGCCAAGTTGACAAAGAAGCACTATAAGCTTGAATCGGAGGATGCCCACCCAAGTCTTCATTGAATGAGAAGGTGTAGAGACTGTCATCAAGTGGACCACTTGGAGATCATCCTATAAAGCCAAATCCTTTACCAAAAAATTATTAAGAAAAAAATCAATAAAGCAAGAATTATTTTTTATAAAGTTATTAATAAATAAAAGGTTTTGACTAATTAGGACATACAAAATATTATTGAGCTCAAAGGAATGATTATGAATTTGAAAAGATAAAAAAACCAACTCGAGTAATAGAAATGTGTTTACCATCGGGTAATTGCACATCTTCGGAACTAGTGTACTCATTGTGAATGGCAAGGTTTTCCAAGGGCATCGTCATGTGATAAGTTGCACCTATAACCATAACCCATTGAGTGATAGGGGCGGTGAAAGTGGAATGAGCATGGTGTGAAGAAGGCTTAATGCTCGTGAAGAGTGGGGCATGATTTTAGGGAAGTATACACATTTATAAGATGACCATTGCTATTACAATTGAAGCATACCACACTCGGTGGAATTAGAGTGCACATCATGATAAAAAGAAGGTCGTAGGTAAGAGCTAGATGTGAAGGAACGCCCACCACGATGACCTCAACCACGGATTGGGTACCGATGACTAGCATAGTGAACTGAAATTGTAATTTTAATAGGTTGAATACTACCATAAAGTTGAAATTCTTTACTTAGCGCAACACCATTGAGGATCTCATAGGTCACGACCTCGTTACGAGGATTCAATCGATTGTGCAAAGGGCCTAATGGAAGCACCAAAGCCATAAAGTAAGGCTTGAATAAGTTCATATGTAGGAATAAGAGAGCCGAGGGAATGTAAGACATCAAATATGGCTTTCATATGGTGGAAACATTACTCGACCGATTTAGAGGTTCTTTAAACACGGCAATAGAGGTTGCTTTTCAAGTGATTAATTTGGGTTCTTGTCCTAGAATCATAGGTGATCGCCAACTTCAACCATGCATCACAAGTCGTAAAGGTTTCAATAACAAGAGGTAGGATGTCTTCCGTGAGAGAACTAATAATCCAAGTTAGGACTAGTTAATCATGGCTTTCCCGGTTTACAAAGGATGGGTTGGGTTTGTTATTGCCAAGTGTTGGAGCTAGTGGGGGATACGAGTCATCAACATGGTGGAGAAGACCATGACATTATAAGATAGGATAAAGCTATGTTTTCCATATGATGAAATTAGTGGAAGTAAGTTTGAGAATGGACGGGTTCGGAGATTAAGAAGAGAGACAGGGACTATAGTAGAGGAAGAAAGAGCAACAAGCATAAGATTGTTGTTATGGTTGTGGTTTTAGTTAGCAATAGTCATGGTGAGTCTATGACAAAAAAGGAGAATTGATGGTATTGTGGATCGTTAAGTCTTAATGGCTAAGATATAATGTAAAGGTTTATTAGCTCACACAATATACAATCTTTATATATATATATGTGTGTGTGTGTGTGTGTGAGAGAGAGAGAGAGAGAGAGTGTTTTAAATATAATATCAAAATTGTTAATATAAGATGTGTGTTGTGTAATTTATTTATAGATTTATTATTTTATTTGATAACTATTATTAATGTAATATATATCTGTTTATGGGCATAAAATTATTTTAACAAAAAACATCATATTGTCGAATCGGATATATATTTAAGTTTAAGGGTAAACATTGATATTTATTTAGATTGTTTATAAAAATACAAATATAAACAAGGGATAGCATAAACATTATCAATTTTCAATTCCATCTAAATACAAATAATTGCACTCTTAATATATAATTATATTCACAATATTTATATTTTAAAAAAGATATTTAAAGATCCACTAACAAAATGTTTTTTTCTTTCTCAATTTGCTATTGAGAAATAAAAAATCAAATTGAGAAATAAAAAATCATTCATCATCTTTTCTTTTTCTTTTTTTTTATTTGAATAAAAGAATAATATTACAATAAATTGTAAAGTATGAGCTTGCATTTAAGCATTTTTTAATTTTAGTAAGCTGGAAGGGAACATTTTTGCACCGAATTAAAAAATTTCATTTACTAAAACCAACTTATCTAGAGTGAGAGTTGATGAATAGTTTAATTGGTTTTTATAACCACTTAGGAATAATATTTTTTATGATACAACACTCTAATCCTCTCCCTTCCAATCAATTTTTTTTTCCTTTTTTCCCAAAGTATACAACAATTGGATTGGATTTATGAGCATGAATGATGTTGAACCATAAACGTTTGATAAAAAAAGTAATCACTTTCTCACTGGCCACATTTCTTTAATTGCTAACCACTATCATTATAACAAAACACTAGCCATTGGTTTCAAAAAAAAGAAAATAACAAATTAATCCTAATTAAAAGCTTATTAAATTTTAAATCATAATTAATTGATAAATTAACTTGCCAATTAATAAAAATAAGAAATTAAAAAACTAATCATTAATAACAATTTTTTACGAAAGAGAGAGAGAGATAGAGAGAACTTACCTTTGGAAATGGGGAGTAGGCGAAAGAGAAAGAGAAGAGAAAGAAATGTTAGTGTAGGTGCTCAAAATCCAACTTGTTTGAATGGTTTGAAATATTATATTATATTATTATTTTTTTAATATTAAAAAAGAAGTCTTTATCTTAATTTTTATTTTTAATATTAAAAAAGAAGTCTTTATCTTAATTTTTATTATTTATAATTTGATAGAATTAGGTAGAAATCTATATGATATGCATTGCATTCATGATTGATCAATAGATGTGAGACAAATATCAACGCACATAAATGATATTGTTACATGTCCAAAGTCATATAATTATCAAAATTAGACATTGATAATATGCTCGTAAGACTTGTCAATGTTATGTTCTTACTATAAGATAGCGAGTGAGAGATCTTACACCTATTAGCATGGTGATGCCAAAGCAAACACTCGAGTGAATAATGTTAGAGAACATATCACTCGGACATGACTCGCCATAAGAATTTCTTTAGTATAGTCTTTGGGAATCTCATACGAGATAGATACAAGTAGTCTTTTGACTTGAAGTTATCACGGTTATCTCATTAAAGGATTGATATACTTTGACATTCATTTCGATGAGCTCGGTAAAGAGTTAGATGTGGGCAATTCGTTAGGTGTGTTAGGAATCTATTGGAGATAGGTGGATAGCTAAGATAAGACATGTCATTCTTTATATATTAAAAGAGTTATCATATTGCATTTTGATGAATGTTTGCTCAAGAATCTATGATCACGGTGGAAGTATACAAATAGAGATCAAAGAAAACTTATATGATCATAATCAAATAGAGAACATACTAAGTTTAAAATCACATTGTGATAAATTGACATAAGGACTGAATTGTATAAAAAATCATACTTGTGAATGGTTATTGCAGATTAAGTAATCCTTCTAGATAATGGGATAGTCATAATGCCTTCGTCGAAGGTCAATATTGATTTATGTATCAAAAGGTAAAAGAAATGCCTTTTACCTATCGATACATTGCCAACATATTTAAAATCCTATTGAGTCATACACATAAGTTTAAACATTCACACGAAAAAAGAGAAACAAAGAATTTGGAAAAAATTTTCTATTTTGGAAATCAGTTTCCTAAAATAGAAATCGGTTTCCTAAATTGAAAATTAGTTTCTTATTTTGAAAATCAGTTTCTCAATTTAGGTTTAATAAGCTACAAGGGTAACTTAAAAAATTATATCCTAATAAAGACGTCACTAAAAGTACTTGACATAGCTTATTTGGATGGTCCAAATTAATTATTGAGTTATTTGGCTAAAAGAGTTTGGGTCAACAAGCTTAAGTGAAAGCTTGCAAGAGGTATTTTAAGTGGATGCTCGAAAGAGGTATTTTAAGTGGAGGGTATTGTAAGAGCTTAAGGAAAAAGTTCATTAAGCCTAATTAGGTGTTTATAAGGATAAGATTAAACAAAATCACATAAGTCACATCATCTTGACTCGATAATGAGAGTTGGCCTAATATATATATATTAGAGAAAGAAGGAGATGCAATTAATAATAAAAAACACAAGAAGCTAAAAAAAAATTATGTCCTTCTCCCTAAAAGAAAAAGTTACGCTACTTTCTTGAGTGATTTTTGTGGAAAAAAATATATATTGTAAAAAAAGTAGAGCTAGCATTCTAGGATTTATGTTGCTTCTTGTGTTGGTGTTTTTATTGTGTGGATGATCACTAGAGACCGGATTCTTGGATTGCTTAATCTGTAATTAGATTATGAGCTATAAGAGATAACTTCTTATCCATCTTGTTAATATATAGTTATTTAATTCAATGGTTGATCTTGGGACCTTAGATGGAGGAGAATAATTTATTTATTTATTTATTCCACACCTCTATAGGATGCATGATCCTTCAATTGGTAGTAAAGCCTTCATTGAACCTTTAATTATATTGATATTAATTTTGATTAATTATGGTTTCGCATTATAAATCTATTGATTTTTAGTATTTTATTTGAAACTCGATTTTAGAATAGAGGGAAGGGCGATAATGCTAGCCATAGCATGGACCATGCCAAGTCGGGCATGCCAAATAGCATGCAAGGCTATTGGCTAGATATACATGCCAAGGGTCATGGCAAAACAAGGTCAAGCCTAGTATGCAAGATTGTGTGCTAGGCCACGAGCGAGTGAGGCGTGCCGAGGGGCATGTTAGGCTAAGGCTAGGCCGGGCATGTGATATTGCATACTAGCTACTAGTAAGCTAGGCATGCTAAGTTAGTGCTAGGTTAGGCACACAAAATTGCATACTGGGCTATTAGTGGGCCAAGCATGCCAAGGGACACGTTAAGCACACGGGGATGCACGCTAAGCCAACGAGAGGGTCGATACTCAACCCAAGCTAGTAGCTTGCCCGAGCTAGTGCCGAGAACTAGCCGGTAGCTTTTATAAGCCATTGGTAAGCACTAACTAGTAGGGTTAGGCTAGCCCGTGTCCTCAAAGACCTAGAAGCCCTAGGCCCAAATGGACTTAAGGCCCAAAGTCTAAAAAAAATAAAATTTAAAGAAATATTAATTTTTTTTATAAAATAACCAAAATCATAAATTTATAATTAAAATAAAATAAAATAAAATATATTTCATTAGTTAATATGCCATGTATCAATGTGATTGTAGCATGGGTGAAAGGTATGGATGAGTCGACTTAGTTTTTGATAATGTATGTTTGTAATTTTTAGCTAAATAGAGGTCCGTGTGTCCTACCTTCTCTTTTATTCTAATGTATCTTCTTTTTTCATGTTACTTCCTTTGAATGTAACATGAGGTTTCGATTCCAAAATTATAAAAATAGAAGATAGATTAGTAGAATAGGTATAAGAGAAGAAGCCAAAAAAGAAGATGACTCTAAAAAAAATGTAATAATTCTTTATCTATGTTGTTAACCCACTAATCTCCTCATGCCTTAAGGGAACTAGTATTAGAAATCCATTACCATTCATCGATACTTGATTCATGTATGTATAGTATGCATGATAATATGAGATGATGCGATTGAACTCTAGTATGCATGATAGTATGAGATTGATGGGATTAAACCCTAGTATGCATGATAGTATAAGATTGATGTGATTAAACTTTAATATGTATGATAGGATTAATTTGATTAACTAAAGGACGAGATCTTATAATATAAAATCCTTCAAACAAATATCGAGTTTTACACCTTCCAATGTTATAAGGAGAGAACTCTTTTGGTCGTTGTTAACTTGTTGAGGTCACTTCTTCCTCAAGAAAACCAAATCATAGTCCATATGATGTCCTTGAATATTTGGGTCTAAGTTAAAATGAATTATTAGATTTATTGAGATAACTTAAATTACCTAAATTTCGTTTTCCGGTAAATTTTTGGTGATTTTCTTTTCTCATGTTCTTTTAAGCAAAAACATTTTTTAATTCATACTTATTAGAGTTCCTATAGGTAATACTTCATTCCTTGTTTTATTTATTTGAAATATATTTAAGAGGGCTAGATAGGTACCAAGTGCTCGCTCTTAGTAGTGAAGGGGTTAACCTTGATGCTAGGTCAAACCTTAGTATAAGAGAATTTTTTATTCTTGAGGGATGAGGATGGTCCTTTGTCTTTATAAGGTGCCTTTTTCTCATGGCTCTTGGTGCTAATAGAGGTCCTAGCATATTGGCTAGTGATAGGATTAGAGCTTTTTGCTATTTTCTAAGGCTAAACTATTGTGCAATCATTCCTTACCTTACCGATAGGATGGGATCAATTACTCATGAAGCTTTTAGTGGGAACATCAAGATTAATGTTCCTAATTGTATAGTATGGGGTCATACTTTATTTTTTTAGGTTTCTTGATGATTTTTTCTTACCATTTTGGTATTAATCTTTGCTTGCTTTTTCTCGATGGGTGGGCCATACTCATGGATTTTGGTAACTTTTGTTTCCAATTAAGAATGTCTCTACATTTAAGGCTCTTTTTGTTTTCTTTTTATTGGAAATAAGAAAGCAAAGAAAGAAACAAATTATCTTGTATGTGCTATCAAAAAGTTGGTTTACTAAAAGAGGTGTTTGTTGGCAATACTAATCTTTTAGATGATTAGTAGAAAAAGTGGTTCACCTTCTTTTTATGAAGGACCAACTTGTAAAGGTTGGAATTGGACTTGGAATTGTAAGGATGCTTCCTTTATTAAAGGAATTTTTAGATGGCTAGTAATGACCTTCTTCTCGCTTCTAGTGAGGAATTATCCTCCCGAAGTAGGTAAAGAGTTTGAAATGTCTCTTTATTGTTAACCAACTTACTTTGGATTGCAATTTGGCTAAGTCATGTGTGGTAGTTATGTTAACCTTTCTTTATTTATCTTTTACTCTTATCGGTTTATCTATTTATTTTTTTATAGTTAATCTCTCGATGTGTATTTTTTCTTCTAATAGAGCGGACTCAATGGTGTAGGATCTTTCTTTCCTTCTCCTAGGCCTTTGTTTCTAGTAAGGTGGGTTGGGTGACGATGAAACTTACATGAATAACCAAAAGAGGACCGGGTTTTTTTTTTTTTTTAGCAACGATGGGTGCTTCTTTAGAGTAGAACTTAGGGTTTCTTCCCATATGTGGTAGCAATGATGGGCAACCATTAGTGCAAAGGTGGTCACTACCTCTACACCACTTGTTGCCTCTCATCCAATTATGAAAGGCTTTTTCTTACTCGCCAATGGCATTCTTCCCTCTATGCATTAAAAAAAAAGGTGACAACTAGCTTCTTCATTCTTCAAGAATCAAGTATGGTTATTAACCCCTCTATTGTTATCTGCTCGAGGTCCATCCTTATTTATATCTTAGAGAGACCTCACTCAATGGAAAATATTTTTTGATATTGTTCCACATTGTGGTATATGGATGGGGAGGAGATTGTGTATCATCTTGGACTACTTTTACTCGCTTCATAGAGATATGTCAACCATAAATAAGTGTCCGTTGGTTGAGAATATGAGGAGAGGGATATAGTTATCGTTGGCTTGTAAGTATTTGTTTTCTCTTCTTATTTCCTATACTTTTCTTTATTTGCTATGCTTGAAGTGATTTTTTTCCACAAGCACTCCAAGCGCATGCTTATGAGCTTTAAAGGTTAGAAGCCTCAAAGAGGGAGCATACTATACATGTGAAGTTAATGTAGTGCTATCGGGATGACGTCTACTAGAAAGAAAAAAGATTTTTTCTATCTATATGGAGATAAAAAAGTAGTTAAGAGAGTTGAATGACTCTCTTAACATTACTTTTGTAGGGAGCTAAAAGTTATTTCTTAAGAGTTTGTCTTGACACGAGCTTTGAATGAGGCAACACACTCTTTTACCTTTGTGTTAGAGAAAAAAAGGGTCATTTTAAATACCTTGGCCCAAAAAATATATAATGCTTTAGAGAGGCTTTATTTTATATAGCAAATTAGGAGTCATTCCAATAAATTTATTGCTCAATTTAAGTATACACTCAAGTTCTTTTAAGCTAGAACTAATAAAGTGTTTGTGACTATAGTGAACTTCATTTCTTTAAAAAAGTTAAACAGATTTGTATCGATTTTTCTAATATGTTTGGTGAGGATCCAATTCTTAATTTTGACATGTTATATCCAAAGATAGGTGTTATTTCTAGTGGAGGTCAATTCATCCCTAATGGCTACCAATCTCTTAACCACCTTACCTTTAGTGAGATTCATAGTGACAATAAAGAATCGGACACTCTTCTTGCTCCCACCTAGGTTTTTACTTAGAAACATATGCCACATTTGATGTTCTTGTTTCATTTTTATTCCCTAGATAGTCTTTTAGTGACCATACTAATCTTGCTTTTGCTCATGCTCATAGTCTTTCTTTTTTTTGTTTACTCCTTCCTCCCCTCTCAAAGGCCATCTATAGGCCTTACTAAAGTATTTAAGGGAAATGTTGCTAACTTGGTAGAGCCGGACTAGAATTTAGAGATTTTTTTTATGGTCATCGGTCCTAGTCTTATAGGATTAACCTACCTAGGATCCAACATCCCTTAATTTCTTTTGTATGGGATCCAACATCTTTCTACTTGGATTTTGGTGGACCAAACTAGAATTTAGAGATTTGTTTTTATTTTTTTCTTTTATGATAATCACTTTTCTTTTGGGCCTTTGTATGATGCTTTTTAGTATCTAGGTTGGTTAGCAAGTGAGGATGTCTTTTAGTTTTTTGAACCAATAACATTTCAGTTACTATTTTGAGTATTTTCTCTTTCTTACCTTTAGGTATCTTCAAACCTAGATAAAAAGAACTTTGTATTTTTGTTAGATACTAAACTTGATTTAAGGAAATATTTTATCCTCTAGGAAGGTTGGTGGTGCCTTTACACTTCGATAAGATATTTCTTTATACCTAGATAAGGTAGTAACAATGACTTTTTATAACCATAGAAACTTACTCATAAGCCTTTTTTTTTTCTTTTGAGTGGTATATTGTATCTTGGATGATTGTTGTGACTCGCCTTGATTTAACCGAGGTGCTTGTATGTTTTGATCATAGATTAATCTATTTTGACTCACTAGGATCCCTTTGTTTTGTTGGATGAGAGTTTTAAGCTCTTTTTTTTTATGGGACATAGGTTTTCAACCTACTAGTGATTCATTATGCCTTCGGACCTAGCTAAGGTATTATTTACCATGAGCTTTGAAGTTCTAAACTTGCAAGGCTTGTTGGCTATTGGAATTCTTTCCTTTTTAGGCTCTTTTTTTTTAGTGGTCTATTATATCTTGGATCATTGTATTGACCTAACTTGATTTAAAAATGATGCTTCTATGTTTTGATCGTAGCTAAGGTTTTTAACTCTTTTTTTTTTAAGCGGTCTATTGTATCATGAATGATTGTTGTGACCCGCTTGACTTAATCGAGATGCTTCTATGCTTTGATCATAGATTAATCTATTCCGACTCACTATATAATAATTGATACCACTAAAATTGAAATTAAATAAAATTTTAATATTAAAAACATGTGAAAAATATTTTGAGAGTTAGAAATAATCATTAGGGATTTAAAATAATATTTAGAATAGTCAAAATAGTTTTTCTATGCTTGAGGAATATTTTATTGATTTTACGATGCATGAATAGTTGTTTTTACATGAAATAATTAATTAAAGCATGTTATTTGTGCATCAAAAATGTTTTCTTTGCTTAGAATATTTGTTAGAGGGCTATTGACTTATTTTATATGATTAAGTGAATTTTTTTATGTGATGTGAATATTTTCTTTGAAATTCCATGTATAGGAATAGTGTCTAAGAGATAGAAGAATACATTAGACATTTTAGAAGAATGAAGATATTTTTTAAGGGTATGGAAAAATCACTTGGAGTATTTAAGAGTGTCTAATAAATTTTAATTAATTTTCCAATATATAGGCAATATTTCTCATAAGAAATAGTGTAATATTTGCACTAAATAATTAATTTAGAGGCTCAAATGAGGTCCAAAAATTATGAAAACTTAAAATAAACTCCCTTAATAAATGTTTGAATTTATTCTTAAAAGAAATTGGATTGTTGAAGATTATAGAGTAGAATTTTAAATGTAGAGACTAGATTGCATAAAATTAAAAGTCTAATCATCTAAATTAAATTATATAGGAACGTTAAGGTCAAAAGTTCAGTCCTAAATACTCAAAACAAAGGGTTAGAAATGATTATTTGAATAAAAGAAAAATTTAGGAAAGAATAAGCCGTAGAAAACTCTAGAAACTTGGAGGATCAAAATTTGTCATTTTTTCCCTAACTTTGATCGACCTAAAGCATTAATTAAGTTTGACTTAATGGAAGGCTTAAACAAAAAGAAGAACAAATGGCCAAAAAATTAGTCAAATAAAAAGAATTGATTGAAAATTTAATTAAGGGATGAGATTTTCCTAAATTAAGGGTGGAGATGAGGTCAACAAGTCTACAAAATTTTCCCATAAATAGGGATGCTAGAAAAATTAAAAAGGGAAGGAAAATTGAAAAACACAAAGGAAATTCTTGCAAAAGTTTCACTCAAAAACTATACAAAATAATCGTAACCAATTTTAAACCCTCCAAATCAATAGATTAAGCTTCAAATTCAAGTTCGGAGTCGAATATCTTCGAGGAGAAAATTAGAAGAGCTAATTCAAATTTAGACAGAAAAAGGAGAGGAAGAAAATTTTCAAACAACCTACCTTTTCAAGGTTAATTTGGAGCTTAATCATGAATGGAAAATTTGATGAAAATGAAAGAAAATTGGTTATATGGGCTTGGGCCCAATTTAGGCCCATTAAGGGTTTGGATAGAAATTTGCACCCTAAATGTGAATTAAATTGTTCCATATAGTTGCTATTTATTTAGGCTACATAGTATCAAAATTTCAGGATCAAAGGAGAATACATTATTAGAATTTGAAAGTGAGGAAAATTTGGCCTAAAGGAGAGAAATTTAGATATCAAGTTTAAAC